AGGATGGGGCGCCAGATATCGCTGATCGGCTTCAAGCTCATATAATAACAACTTCAGCATAACTTCACTCCTTATGGTGAGGAGCAGTGTTATAGCCAGCCATATTTTAGTGCAGGAGAATTTAGTAATGGCAAATGTAGTTAGCAAAGCGACCGTAGGCTTGTCACCAGTGGGTCACGGCCAGGGGTCCAGAGACCCACTTAAGCCTTAATTAAGGGGACTATACATCGCTCTTTCAGTGAGTTTTTCATTCCAAACTGATTAAGAGTTCAAATTTGTTTAATTCTTCCAGGTAAAATATGAAATTTTCATAGTGACTCATATTTTTTCTAAGATTTTTAAGAATTTTTGTGCCGGTTGGTGGGCTGTTTCATCAAGCTTAGTGCTGGACAGTAGAACGCTGTGGTGGAGATGCCTGACCAGTACCAACCTGCGTAGCTACTGGGTAGAACACTGGTGAGGAGTCGCTGACTTCACTGCATTGAAAGAATTAAGATCATTGCCTGACTATGTGATTCCATATTGACATACATTGCGTAGGCTCAATGCATAGTAGACCGTTGATCATGTTCAATTGTAACATTTTCCTGGGTAAATTGCCTGAATTGGAACCTTTAGTTTGGCTGGGCAACCCGTTGACATTGCAGCCTACATGTGTGTAAAAATTCAAACAAAAGACTGAAGAGTTTACATTTGGGCGAAGTGGCAGTGGGCGATGTGGTTACAGGGGCGAAGGGATCAGGGATGAAGTGGCAATAGGGCATAGTGGCAATGGGGCAATGTGGTTACAGGGGTGAAGGGATCAGGGATGGAGTGGCAATAGGGCGATGTGGTTACAGGGGCGAAGGGATCAGGGATGAAGTGGCAATAGGGCATAGTGGCAATAGGGCGATGTGGTTACAGGGGCGAAGCGGTCAAGGGCGAAGTGACTGTAAAGCATGATAAACATCATTTCTAATGCACTAACAATGTGTGATGTGTCACTTGTGTTAACTATTGCAATGCAGTTACCCATTTGTGCGTGATCAACCAGTTTTGCCATGTATCATGTAGTTCTGCGTCAGCGCGGCTAGTATGCCTAGGCCCAGTAGAATGCTGCTTGTACACGATTCTCTTGCTTCTTCTGTCTTTGCCTTGGGCGTATATGCAAAACCCGTCTGTAATTTTGATATATTAAAACCCACTCGTTCAAATCATGTATGGTACGTGTTGTCATCAATCCTGTCTCTTCTTGTATTCCGTTTTAAAGATCCCGTTGCACTACGGTGTGCTGCGTGTTATGGCCACAGACTCACCATGCTGAAGTTCATCTTGATTATCTCCAAGCAGGGCCAGACTCGTCTGGCCCAATATTATGACGAGAGACGAGAACCGACACAGAAGACCTCGCTGGAGGCAGAATTGATCAGAAAGGTGCTTCTCAGAGGAAACAAAGGGGTAAGGTTGTTCTCATGTGGGTGGTGGACTCCATACCCTAGCCCCCCCCATGGTAAAGCAAAAGGAGGGCTTTTTTACGTGTAGGTTTTTGGCCATTTACCAACATGAATATTCACACTGTGTTCTCAGTGTGGTCTGAGAGTTGCGAAAAAAAAAATCACAAGCTGGCTCATGTGGGATTCAACCCATGATTCCTGACTAGTGGAGATGTCTTAACCACTAAACCGTTGAGTTTGCCGTGATCGGGTGGCTAATTCAAAATCCAGTGCAGTAGCATATGCTGCATTTAGTCTGTGATGTTAAGTTGTCTTTGCGTCGGAAAAGGCATATGCATGACACACACCCCTTTGGCATTTATATGTACTGGGTACGTGTACTTCAAAAGCGACGGAAATGAAGTGAGTATTTTTAGATTGGGCTCAGCAGTCCCCAATCCGTCAAAGTACTGCAAAAATGGGTGTAGATTGTTTGTCATATTTTCCAGGATTTTGGGTTAAGGAAATTTTTGATTTTGTGTTCATGTTGGCACCGTAGTGGTATTTCTCATTCCCCAAGTGTGAATGTTAGTCTGATCCTACCAAGTCACTTGCTTAAAATGGACTTACCATTCTACAGGTAATTTTCTACTTTTTCTGTCATCTCTAAATTTCATTCCTTAGTAATCATCAATCAAGCTTGATTGCCCCCAAATGGCTAATACTGGTCAGTATATCTCACACTTGTTTCTTTTCTCAGTGCTCATTCCTGGACTATCAAGACTTCAAGGTTGTGTACCGTCGGTACTTGTCACTGTATTTCCTCATCGGCATTGACAAGGAAGAAGTGAGGTCATTTCTTTGACATCCTTAGCGTACTTTAAATACCATTGCTCATTTGTGCATTGCGATAGAGTTATTGAAATGATTGTAGGTCAACTCGTAAGAGGCGAGTCAGTCAGGGGCGAGTTGACCTGACATTGAAATAGATTTGGTTTTCATTGTACTTGTAAAACTTTACTAAGCTAATTTGCTGCAGTTTACCTAAGGAGTGCAGTCAGAGAGTAAAGCATTTCCCTCTTTAAAGAAGGCTAGCAAACTTGTAACTGCTCACACTGATTACCAAGAATGCTACATTTTCACCAATCTTGGACTTTGTATTTTGGTTTGTGTCTGTATTGTCATGTAATTTTTGTTTCATTTTGTTTACTTGCTTGTTTGCAAGCTATATTAGATGTGCTTGAATGAATTTCTTTTGGGGGCGTTTTTTTTTTCCAGAACGAAGTAGCAATCTTGGAATTTATTCACCTCATCGTGGAGACCTTGGACAAATATTTCCCCAAAGTGGTAAGGTCATAGGAATTCCATGCCAACTCTTTCCATACATGTGGCAACATGAACCACATAATTCTGTTGAATCATGATGGTCATGTTGAGTAGTTGCAGATCAATATGCCACCTGCAGCGTTACCCTGATCCACAAATGAGGCACCAGTTAATTCACCTTTTTTTCTGATCATGGAAAAAGCTCCCCGTATATGCAATTTTGTTCAGGACGTTTACAGCAGTTTTTGAAAACATCCACATTTTTATTTTTCCGCTACTAACAAAATTGAAGGGGTCTTTTTTTTGTCCAGCCTTAAAAGGTCGTTTTCTAAAATGAGCTTATTTTGGAAAGTATTCGAGAATTCAAAGCTGGAGAGACATAAAAGCATTTGTATGGATAATACAGTTGAACAATGACTTCTATTTCAGTTGTCATTTTTTCTGCTCTCTTTTTATTGATAGACTGACTTGGATGTATCCTTTAAAATACAAAGCCATGTGTCAATTTTTCAGTTTACTTTACATTTTCATTTTTTTTGCGACAAGGCGAATTTTTTTGCAAGCTCACTGGTACTTAGAAACCGGTAAGGTACACATGGAAATGTTGACTTTATTTAGAAAAGAAGCTGTTTGTTAAACTTTTAGAATGGTAAACCGGTTCAATCTACTTAAGAGTGAAATGTGGTAGGACCATTTTTCAAACCTGTTTCCTTTCTGGCTGTGGCTCAAGCAAGCAGCTTTTTCAAATAGACTCAAATCTTTGACTTTGCATTGTACCACTTTTGCATGCTGCTGCGAGCTCCATTCATGAACAGGATGTGGTATTTTTTGCATTGCATAGAGGTTCCATGGGGTTCACACCACATGCACATTCATTGCATAGCACCATGGCATGGACCATATGCAATCCATTTTCACTGGAATGTATACTTGTTATGTGGGCAACAAATTCAAAGCTACCAACCTGTCCTACCTAGCTTTGCCAGTAAAAGGGGATTGGAGCAGACACATGGAGCAAGTTGTACTGCATTTTTCAAGCTAAAACATCTGCCAGCAAGGAACTGAAATCATAACCCTCGAGTCTGGTGCCGAAGCCAGAAGTGAAACTAACATGTAGATGTAGATTTGAGACATGGCCTTGAAGGGGGTCCTTGCAGTGAGTTGCCATTATTCAAAGCACAGGGGGACGATTATTATATCTCTCTGCATATCAGTGAATTATAAGACTTAACCCAAGCTCCTGCAAACAGATCATGTTCAATCTGGACAAGGTGTACATGATCCTTGATGAGATGGTGGTGAATGGCTGCATCGTAGAGACTAGCAAAGCCAAGATATTGGAACCTGTCAGGCTGATAGAGCAGCATCGATGATGGAAGCCCATCAGTGAACTTGGGGCCTATGCTGTGGTTTCGGCTCCAAGCTGTTGAGCTAAGCCCGCATGCAACAAAAATGCAAAATCAACTGTTAACATGATCAGAGGACTACGGTGCTGTTTCATGTTGTATGTTTTCGTGTTTATGCAATTCTCAAGTTCAGAGAAGTTGGTACCCTGTGTGCTGATAACAGTAAGACTGTTATTTTGGACTTCCAAGAACCAGTTCACCTCAGGCATCAGTGGTCTATCAACTGGCCTCACTTGGCTTCTCTTGAGAGAAAAAAAGGACACCCTCAGCCGTGCATGCGTGCAGCAAGTGTCAATGTCATGTCATTTCAACCCAGAATAGTCAACTTGGGCATTTTGTTCGTGAAATTCTTTAATTGGTCTTTTATATAAAATACTCAAATATTAAGATATCGCACCTCTGTCAATCCATTTTTAAAAATATTTATGTAAAGAAAATGACATGCTAAGGCCTGTTTCAAGATGCTTGATTGCCGCACCGACTGAAATAAAAACGTTTCAGGTAAAAGACAGATGATTATGTACATTGCTGATTATTCTCTGGATTTCTGGAGTGTTCACCTTTCTCTCATAGAGGTGAGAGTAGCAAAAAAAAAACCACAACGGTCAGGGTTCAAGATACATGCTAACCCCTTCAAGACATATAAAGCTGAGGGAAAGCCAGTTTTCTCTCTCCTGTTTTTTGTTGTCAATCTTTTGCGACCCTTTGTCATGTGACACTAAATACCATCCGTCACATGGAGGTACTTTGAAATTTCACGATGGAGGCTATTCAAATAAAACAACCATGCACCCTGTGAAACTAGGAGCTTTTTTAATTGCAAATCACACGAGACATTCCATAAATTTAGGGTCAAAAGGTGTGACATGTTTGTGTCCCTATTATGCCTGGCCTGTGTTATTTTACATGGAAATATCATCGGAATTGACTTCTGAAATTGACTTCAGAAATTGACTTCAAATTAGTTTAATATGTTTGACTGGTAATTTGCATTACTTAATCACTCGTGGAAATGAAAAATGTGTTCTAAATTTACAATATCATAAGTCAGATGTAACAGTAACACGAAAAATATTGGATCCCAAATTTGTAAAATGACCCAAATGTACGTTGCCATTTTCTGAGAACACAGAAGACGAAGAACATACAAAGACCTACATGAACATGATGCCTCTGTGGCTACTAAAATAAAGGCCTGCTTTTAATCTGTACGTTGCTACAAGTTCTTTATTGCAAGGGCAAACATATTTTGGAAAGGAAATTCTGGGATTTCCCGTTTTAGATTTAGGTTTCAAGGAATTTAAACAGTCATCAATCCTTCAATTTTAATATGATTTGTCACACTTTAAAGTGAAAAATTCTTACAGCTCAGATTTTCACAAATCTGAAAAGAAAAACATCTTTTACAAATCTGCTGTCCCTGCATACAAAAATTGTCTTGATCTCAACAGATCGACATTTTAATACAACATAAATCTGTAATAAAATTTAAATTTTAAATTGCGCATATATTATTTTTTGACAGGAAATGCAATCATCACCTCAATTTACACACACTTAAATAACAGAAATTACACGGGCTGAACTAATTATTGGTAGTGTGTTAATGTTATCAACTACCGTCCATGTGCTCCCTCAAGCAAGTACAGTATTCCATCTAAATATGTAATTGATTGAAAGTTGAGAACTTACAGTCATGATTATAGAGACTGAAATGTAGCACTTTTGGTAACTGCTGTACAGCCCCCTTTCTACACTTCTGTCGTGAACATTGGGTGTAGTTTTACAGGATGCATCCCCAAACACTCCAAATTTAAGAAGCTGCATAGAGGGATTTCACATTAGCACCGTCTGCACATATCTGCATCCAAACTGAGGCTCTCTGTGTTGAACTTTGTCACGCACGCCCGCGGAGTCCACACAGTACATGCAGTATCTGGTTCGTAAGTGTGATACCACTTCAGTTTAAACCACGCCCACTAGACAAGATACACGACCATTGCAGGTAAGTTAGTTCGTGGTAAATTGCCATTATTTCTTCTTTTGATTTTACGTGTCAAGTCATCCTGAAAGACTCTTCCATTAAAAGTTGAAGCCTGGAAAGTCTGAATTTAACATGCCTTTATGTATTTTGTGTTTTGACTCCCGACTTTCGATCGTCTGATCGTATTAAGAATTGAAGGTGACACATACAGCCTCGTTTTCAAATGCGGAAGTGCACAGATCGACACTAAAAGCGTCGTATTGGGATCCATCTATTCATCGTAAATTTATTGTGAGATGCCGGCTAGTTTCTAGGTTTTTCAGTTCTATTTGGTCACTTTGCTGTGATGAGCTTGGAAGACTTCAGGAAAGATTCACAGCCTTTTGGCCATGGAATCAAAGAAAAGTTATGTGAAGCATTTTCAAGCAAACCAAAGCAGTAACAAATGCCAAGAATTATGCCATCAAAACTGGCCGACAGAAGCATACATCCTGCATCTATGGGCCAAGATTCTGAGTAAAGAATGGAACATCCGGGACACAAACTTGATAAACCTCAAGTTCAATAGCACTACCTGTACACTGCAAATAATTCCAATGAAACGCTGGAGAGATATGAAATAACTAACCATACCTAAATGACACAACTGTCTTGCTAGGTAAATCAATGTATTTGGTACTATTCCACTCAGTAATCCAAAATGCCAATGATATTAATGAATTTGGCTTTACATCAGGGATGTAAATTGATTAAAAATGGATACACATACAGTGTCACATGCTGGGTATCTCCACAGAGGAGAGACATATTCACTGTAAGGATTAACTTTGATCTGGTCAATCACACCCAACATCAAAGTTGCTGTCAATACCCTTCAATGCCATCACAACGCTAATCTTTACCCTCCGGTCTGACAAGTCACAGACTATTCAAATGAACTGCAGTAACAGCATTCCTGTACACGTGACTGGTCTTGCAACGGTCTCCACTACAACACACTGCTTGTAACATTCAGGGTTCATCAGGTCAACTGTAGGGCACTTGATTGGAGTCATATAACAAATCGGTCCCATTTGTAGCTGCTGACAATAGTGGTAATTTTTGCCAACTGCTGTTTAAAAAAAGGCTGCTTGCAAAGATGGAAAAACTCTGCAGATATGAACCGGCCAAGATATTTACGGTGCATATAGAAATGCAAGAGACTGGTCAAGTTTGGTCCATGCTAACAATGTGACTTCACATTGCCAATCAGGGCTCCTGTGCCGTGTCTTTCTGTCTTTCGGATGACAACATGACAAAAACAGCCTTGCATGTCAACAGTGTCCGTCTCAAACTCAGCACGTGTTCTTGCCATATTTGCCGCTTTCTGTGAAAATATTTACCACTGCCTCATTTCACAACTGAAATATTCAACATCTACTGTTGCAGACAACATTCATGCAGCCATTGCGGAGGACACTGCTTTTGTTCCGCTCCATTAGCCGGGAGAAGATCTTTTCATTTTGTTTTACCTGAATGACAAACGCAGCTCTATACACCCTGTTTATTTACACTGAGCAATCCTACTGCCTTGTGTCACCAACGGACGAGTATGGTGTCACCACTCTCGATGGCAAAGAAGGACAACTCTCTCATGTCATTGTCTAATTCCAACTCCTGGCCTGGAACCTACCGAGAGAGAGAAGAACAAGCTTGAGTGGTTTGTGTATGAGCAACAAAGCTCTAAAACTACAACTTTTCAACTGAATTTCTAATATCTTTCCAATCCATAAAAGCAAAAGTCTCAAACACTTCAATTTCAAGAACAACTCCGGAGTGCACGATGGACCAGACTTCTGAGCCCTACTTTCTTTAAAAATCTGAACAAATGCATCTTCCGCATCATCTCTTCATAGCCCAGGGTTCACATCAACATTTCTGACAACAATTTGCCTTTCTGTAATAATCACCTTCTTGCTTGTGTAAGTCAGTCTCTGGTCACTCACGTCTATCTTCAGCAGTTTGTAAATCAGACTCCTCAACTTCTGCAGCTCCATTGTTCCTTCATGAGAGAATTTCAGTTGGGTAACCATGGCAATATCTCTATTTGATGGTGGCTACGTGCCTTGCTTTTGACAAATATTAATTTGCTTCTATCTCATACAACCAGAATGTGTTCCAGCTAGACTGCTTTTTTGTTTATTGCAGAAACGGTGCAGAAATTTAAAATTTTGGAGCCACGAGCAAAGGGAATATTTCCCTGCAGTGGGGGGGGGACTTGGGATGAGAGCTTTAACCTACATGATCCTGCACCTCTGGCTAAAGAGGACAAGGAAGTATGTATGGATACAAAGTACACACAGCAAGACTTGGCTTCGTATTTGGGTCATTCAATAAATTTGGGGTCCAATTTCTTCCTATCCCTGGTACACCTGGCGTTTCCAAGTAATGCAAATTACCTGCCAAATGCATAAAACTACTTCAAAGTCAATTGCAATGATAAATCCCTTGTCAAATTACACAGGTCAGGTATAACAGGGAACATATCATACCCCAAATTTATAGAATGACCCCTGTGGAGTTTGAACTCTTACTCCCCACACCAACCCTTTTCGAAATTTGCTAAAGAAAACCAGTTTTATGACCGGGCAACCCTTCCCCCCATGCAACGTATGTCTCATAGTGTTACCAGTACAGACTGTCTTGGGGTTTGAAGATTTCTTTCATGTGGTTTGCAGGCCGCAACTTTTCAGATGCAATAGCTTCATTTAACCCCCTCGGCAATGACAAGAGAAAGTACTTGAGCCAACGCACAAATACCTTTGGCACCACAGACACCTACATGAAGACACAACGGGATTTTAACGGGCACAGGGCGCTGCAGTGTTGGGAAAAAAAGGCATGACAAACTAGTTCTATGGCAGTTCTCTCGCCTGTCCACCCATGAGAACAAGTTCGTGAGCTGCAAGAACTTGTTGCCTGATCACTTAGAGCATTTCCTTACTTGGAAGTTTCTTGGTCAGTGTTCTCTTGGTGGCATCATCTGGACATTCGATGGTGACAGCGATGAGGGCGTCCTTCAAGGTGTGTGATTTGACAACGAGCTCTGATTCCTCTGGTATGCCGTACTCTAGGATAATAAATGATCATTTCGTGGCGTAAACATACGCGGTGAGTGAGGGTTGGATCAGTTAACACAAAACATCACTGAGATCTGGAAAAAGTTTCACCATTGCGATGTTGCTCGTAAGAAAAGGGTTTTTGCCACCTTCTGGCACCCAACCCTTGAGATTTCCGAGACAAAATTCACACCTTGGCTCAGGTGGGTCTTGTACAGATGTCTTTCACCGCCAAGCTTAACAGGTTGGCTAGTGGGTTCCAATCTCACACAGCCATGGACTGCTGATGGCGCTTATTAAAGACAACAGAAAGTCACCATTCCCTAATGCAATACATCATTAAGAATCTTTGGGAATATTATAAACATTACTCTTCAACTTGGTATGACTTAATCTTTACCAGCCTGCCCTCCCCCCAAATAAAGCAGTTGGTAAGCTAGCACGGCCCTTTCCCTGACAAAAAGCTGGCCAGCACCAATGGCAGTGCCTTACTTTCTATCAGCTTCAGGTATCTGGGATGTACTTGTAAGAACTCCACACTAGGGTCACTCTTCTTGCTGTCTCGGCTGCCCCCGCTGGCCAGCCACTCTTTACAGGTCTTGTTCACGTATTCAATCTCAGAGCCTTTCCTCTCGGCTGCCACGATCTGAATAAAAAATACACCAATACAGTCCTTGGTACTTCAACAACAGAAACACTGTCATATGTGTGAGATGTTCCGAGATTTGTCAAAGATTGTCCGTGTTCATTCACACTTATTGAAAATGGCACATGCGAGAGGGATAGATTTATGTTTTCACACATAATCCCTTTCAGACAAGCAACTTTATATCACCCATCACAAAAATGTGTAACAATGTAGCATTTTTCTTTCCTTAGTCATGTAAATGTATAAATAAGCAGTTGTGTACACAGATATATGGGTGGGGTTGGGGGTCCGCATCTCCAAAAGAGAAAAACTGCCTCTAAAGGGCTGAAAATGCAGGAATATAACCTACACATCTTTGTATACATGAAACCCCCCCCCAAAAAAAAATTCATATATATTCTTGCTACATTCCATTGTACTTGAATGCCTGGTTCATACTGCAAGCTTGGCTCTGAGAGATTATTATCAAATAATTTAACGGGGCTTCTTTATGCACACAGTGGGGTAAAAATGGGGAAAATAAAATATGTGTGTAATGTATTTCAAAAATATTCTGGCATTGCTATTCAAGGACTTAACTTTTCTGAAATAATTAAGTACATGTACAGACAATGTGCAACTTTTCAGGAAATCAAGTCGTAATACATTGTAATTACACAACTAAGCCAATGGTTTCACCCAGTTAGGTCAATCAGCCGGGATACCAGACTCACAGTGCTACCGTTGCAGTTTTTCAGCCCTCCTAGCCTGGCTATCAGTTGCGATCTGACATCTACTGCCAGTATGTCCTTCATGAAGGGGTTCCTTCTGATCTTGAGCTCTGCCAGACAGGCTAGCTTCTCCAGCTCAGCAATGTCTCGCCACTGCAAAAAGCAGTCAGTCCAAAGTCTTAGTTTTCAAGCAGAGTAGACTGTATAAGCTTAACTTGTAATAGTTGAAATGGAGACAATAGACACTGGGTAATTCCAGAAATTAGGGGTCCATTTTGTGTCCCTGTTAAATCTGACATATGATTTGTAAGTTCAGAACACATTTTCTAATTTCCAAGAATGGTGAATTAATTTAAATTGCCTACCAAACAAAGAGTAATCATTTTAAATCAAGTCCGGTGATATTGCCATGTTAAACAACAGAGGTCAGATGTAACAAGGACACAAAAATGTCATACTTTTGGACCCCTAATTTCTTGAATTACCCCACTACTAAACACGAAGTGTGTGTCCAAATGAGGAGGCTGCTCTCATTCTAATCAAGGAATGATCCCTTTCCAGAAGAAGGTAACACGGTGTGTGAAAATTGAACAAGAAAAAATCTGTTCCTAAAATGAATCTAACTATGCCAATTTCTAAATGCTTCAAAGTATCTTTTACAAATCAAGTTTGAAAGATCAACAAGATTTTGTACACTTTATGAAACAATTTTTGTGCAGGCAGTTTAATAAGCTAATTCCAGTGGTCCACAATGGGAGGGCATCATTTCAAAATTCCTATTAGTTGACTATACGACAGGACCATCTGACAGATAAATAAGTAATAACAGTGACTTGTGTTGAGTGAATAATGGAGCGGGTGTTGTTCCACTGAAACCACAAAGCCTTGGAACTAATGCAATAAAAAAGCATTTATCAGTTAGAATTGGCCACTTGAGAACACTTAACCTGATAGCCAACCGATAATAAATGTATGGTCAGACCGTTCTGTATGACACCTACCTGATAAGATTTTTTAAATGGAGCCTAAGTTACTCGGCAAAGGCTGCTGCCATTTTCAAAAAGGAATTTGTTTCAAAGCCTAAAACTGTTTTGGTGGTTCTTTTCTGTATAGAGAGGTGTGTAAATGATGACCAGTTGGACTGAAATACTTGCTTTTAGTCAGAATGGAAAATCTCAAAACACAGTCCTAACTGAAAGTCAGACTTGAACTGATTATGAGTCAAGTTTTCAGTCTCTGTATGTACTTACGCTACTCAGCAAGTTGTCACTGATTGACAGCGATTTGAGACTGAGGAAGTGTTGTGTCTTGCAAGATGCCTGAGTGTCTTCAAACAACACACTTGTCAGTGAATTGGAATTGAGTATAAGGGTGTCTAACCTACAGGAGAGTTGAAACAAAATTAATGTAAGATTTACGGGAGAAATTTACTAGAATCGAGTGAGGATCTTGAATGAAAGTGTTAGAAACTGACATGTATTCACATTTTTAGATAAGCTACTAATAGATAAATGGACACTGGTCTCAAATCATATAGAAATTTATTGGTTTCAAATGAAGAATTTGAGAATGTGTGATATTCTGAATTCTCCGAAATGCAAAAAGACCAAGCGACATTTCGGCCGCTTTTCCTTCTATATTTAATTTAGCGTTATAACAAAGCTCATCCCAAAGTGGCAGAGAGACAAAAGGTTGTGGCAGCACCATATAAATCTCTTTTACGAGGGAATGAGGTACATGGAGAACTAGTGGTCTCAACATTTCAGGCAGTATGCTGTGTGTCATCAAGAGACTCGCTACAGCGAGCTTCGGTTTCATTGCTACATCCATCATGAAAACCATCTACATGTAGTCAAAGTGGCAAGTACAAAGGCAGTGGTCAAAAGCTGTGACTTGGTTCTATACAAGCTGATTGAGCAATAGTAAAGCTTGGGCTTCTTGCTTACCTTGGTAAATGTGACAGGTGCATGACGTGCTGCCACTCGGATAACTCATTGCCTTCTAGATTTAACAACTCTAACGTCTCAAAGGTGCCGGGAGGCAACCTGTGTTAGGTTAAAATAAGAGGGTGTATTTAGTGCATGAATTCACTTTGGACTGTATGAGAACGAATCTGGGCATTATGTAACCAAGCGGTCAGAGCATAGACAGCCTTATTCAAGTTTCCTCCCTTATGAGTAGGAACACTCAGTGGCATTGCCCATAGACCCATGACGCCTAGAGCTGCGTCCAGACATTTTGGCTACGGCTGGCAATGACATGTGTACCTATGGAAGCCAGCAGTTTGCGGCAGTGTTCATTTTCCCATTGATGTGTGTTACCTTTAGCCATAACCACGACTTTCAGACATAGCCCTACAGTGGGCACCAACCACAGCATTCAACTGTCTGTCAGGACTGAGGCACTGTCAGGCAAGATGTATACCAAACGTTCAGGGGCTAAGGTTTTTAACTTGCAGACAAACTTGTAACTGCGCCTTGATGGCTATCCACAGCTACAGAGAAAAACAGGCACGATAAAAACTGTATCGACAGTAGCCACTTCAGCAGAATTAGCAACCATACTCACCGATCTATGCTTGATATCCGGTTGAAGCACAAGTGGAGATTCTTGAGGCTAGGCCACATGGGTGCACAGCGCGCCACCTATACACATGAAAAATACCAAGAATGAAACAGTGTCAGTCAATGGACTCTGGTTGGGAACCATAGATCGCACCATCCAGGCTAGTCCTAAGCAGCCGGTAAAATGGGCACATTGAGAGATTTCTATCTTCGGCTTAAGTCTTTTAACCACCTCCTGCCAGGTCAAATTTGCAGATGCGGGATGAGTTCCCGGGCGATTTTCAAGATTTTCTGTTTTCACAATTTTTTCAAAAATTCATAACTTCATTTATTGCACACTTACACCCACACAAGTGACCGTCTGCTGGCTACTCTAATCTGACAGGCACCTCCACTGACGCCCAGGTATTTCAGCCAGGCCTGCCGCCCAGTAAAGAGAGCCCACATTGTGTGGTGTTGCGTAATTTCCTTTGTTCCTGTAATTGGCCCAGTGCGTTACTGAATGGCAGTGGTGTCTTTTCCAATATGGCCAGATTAGCGTGCAGCGGTAATGTATCACTCATCGCTGGAGTGCTGGAGCACTTTTGGCCCCGCTGATAATCCGCGGGTGCTGAGTGCCGCAATCAACGATATATTGTTTCAAAACAATGCTGGATCACCTCCGCTAATGCATACGAAAACTGATTGGCAATTCCAAGCAGCTCAGTCTTTTGTTCTGAATACGGTCTTTTGTTACAAGGCCCAGTTCCTTTGTCCGATTTCGGTCACCCAGGCTATGCATACAAACCAAGTTATCCGGGACCCAGAACCCGAGATCTCAAAAAGACCCATGATGTCCATGCACTGGTTATCAAATGAAAGTCGTAAATCTGTGATAGTGAGTGAAGAGGGGACGGGATGACTGAAAGTCTCAATTGCCTGGCTGCAGAAATTCAAAAAGGGGAAGGGAGGGGCACCTTGACATCACATCGCTCTTGGGGCACTTCCTGACTGGTGATGCTCATCATGCTGATGCACATCCTCTGTATACTTGCAGGCTTATACCGGTACATACCTTTATGAACTTTTACCAAACGCACCTTGACCTTTCATAAAAACAGTGAATTTACATCTTTGTACAGTTTGTTCCTTACTTTGACCTCAAAATGCACATTTGTTTCGTTTCTGACCACTAAATGTAGGAGAGATGATCAAATGACTCCTCCAGCCTCCCCCACACGGCTACATGGTAAGGGGATAAACATCCTCTCTCACACATCCAAGATTTACGCCCAAGAATGAAAAAAATGCTGGGAAGCTTAGAGGCAGCTATGCAGAAATGGTGCCCAAGTTGTATCTTGCATTGACGGTAACACTTTGTTTACCAACTGTGCACATATCTACAAGCCTAGCGAATGATTTGCAAGCTGTAGCAAAAAAGGGCTCAGCACAGCCCAGCACACCTCTGTGACTTACCATGGGCCAGGTCAGGTTCATGTAATTGATGAACAGCTCTTGGAGATTTGAGAAGCTGCTGGCTAGACTGGAAGGGTTGGATGGAATCTGCAACCTGTTCTCACTGGGAAGAATTGAAAACAAAAAGTGGTGATAAGAGGTACTGCATATTCATGGATTACAGCCTCATCATTATCTCGTGTCATCTGCCCGTACTAGGCTAACCTTTTCTGGAGTGCATTGGTAGCCAGAGCATGTCTTCAAGAGCAAGACAGTTTGTCTCTGTTTGCTTCTGTGCGCTCAAGAGTTAAGGAGTATCTGTGCGCTCAAGAGTTGAGGAGTACATTTGTATGTGTCGAGGTGGAGTTGGCCATTTTTGATTTGAGTAAGCCTGCTGCTGATTCAAAATGGCAGCCAAAATGGCAGTATTGAGCTGGCTACTCTCAAGTTAGGTAAAACTGTCTTTGAATTACTGTCTTGGCCTTGTGAACAGAAGTATAGCTAACAGTGATACCAGCTCCAGTTCGGTAAGTATATGTCATTTCCAAATCTACATCAACCAAAATGTGTGAGTGTGATATGTCACTGTCTTTGTGTCATAGCAAAGACCATCAAAAGACCAGCCACAAGTAACTGAAACGAATAGTGGAAAACGTTGGCTTTTGTTGCAGTTCATTTGAATAGCTTGTGACTTGAATTCAGACTGGAGGTCTTTTGTTAATCTTGTGATGGTCTTTAACCACTTCCTGTCGGGGACTCCGGGATCGGAGACGTATGGTCCGAACTCGGACAAAGGCAACTGGGCCCCGTAACAAAAGACCGTACTCCAAACAAAAAACAAGGCTGCTGGGCATTACCGACATTTTTCACTCTCAAAAGTGGTGATAATCCAGCCTTGTTTTGATACCGTATACCGGGGTTTGGGGCATTGAGAGTGAGCGGATTACCACTGGGGACAAAAGCGCTCCACCACCGCAGCGATGAGCCACACAGCACCACTGCACGCTAATCTGGCCCCTATTGAAAAGAGGTCAGCAGTGCACTAAGCCAGGTTCGTGAACAAAAGACAGTTATACAACACCACACAATCTGGGCTCTGTTTACAAGGCTGCAGGCCTGGCTGAAATACTTGGACATCAATGAAGGTCACCTGTCAACTTAGAGGAGTGCCTAAAGATTACTTGGTGCGGCTATAAACGACNCCCGGCATGAAGTGGTTAAGGGATCTTAACAAGACTAGTGATTGTACAATACCTTACTGAAAGTCCTTTTAGTTTCCTCAGCTGACTGGTAAGTTCAGAGACTACTTGCCAGGAGGAGAGCAAGTTCCTTGACAAATCAAGCTCAGTAATTCCTTGGATTAGAATATAAGGGAATGGAACAAATCATATAAAATGACTATACTTATACTTTGTGTGGAGTTTCTTATCAGCAATTTCTCAGAAATCCAGACTAGAAAATGCAGCAACGATTTCCTTGAAATTTCTTCAATCACTTTATACTATACGATACTTTTGATCAAAATCAAGCATTTAAAAATAACCCTAAGGCCCTCGGGTGTTTGTAAAATTACACTGAAATCAGAGGATTTGGGACTGTGAGGGATAGATCCTTGTAAACTCTGTTACTCCTTGTCGATGCCGTTTCTCCAGCCCTCTTTAACCTTATGAGAGGCACTCTTGATATACATGTAGTATCCTGAAATTCCAAAGCCAACTTTAGGGTGTCAAAGACAAACAAAATTAAGTTATGGCAACCAAGGCCCAAGCAAGCACTAACTGCTCATGAGCTCAAATTGAAATTGTGATTAATTGACCTATGGTTGTAATTACAGAGTGATTTATTAAAAGGGGCTGCTACATCTGTCAATTTCAGTTTTTAATTGGTACTCATCAAGGATACCTGGTGTTTCTTTCTCCAGCTGTGTCGTTCCAATGCGGCTAATCTTTGTGTCTCGCAAGACCACGTCCTTCAGTGATGCAAATGTACTATTAAGAAGAAAGGTTGTACAAGTGACCTGTTTTAACCATTGATCAGTCATTTTCCAACAACTTACTTCACAAGTAATTCTAACAAAACTCTTACGGTTGCGTGAAAAATTGTATTGAAATTGGAAGGGGGGATTTAAGGTCTGTGTAGGGCTTTCCTCCTTTGGGTAGGTCTCAAAAACTGCCTTGACATACAACAGCTTGAAATCTGACGAGTGTTAATTTGATGAATCATTGGTGCCAATTCCTGCAACAGTTTCTGGCCAGATCACACCTTGCTTTAGTCCTTGTGGGAGGGCATGTTGGCTTTGGATCCCCTGATAAGTTCTGATTGCTGTAAATTATTCCTGGATTCCTTCCACTTTATGCTTACATGTATTTCAGATACGGGCATCAACGTTAGCCTGATATGTAAGGCCTCTCACAGTCCCTGTAAGCATTTGGCATAAATTAAGTACTGATGTAAACAATATTGCCCGTTTTAAATCACACATTTTTTTAAGTTCAGTTTTCATTGCCTAAAAAATTCTGAGGACAGTACTAAAAATTTCACTGACTCCTCCAAAATGGAGCCATTATTTCATGTCGGACCCCAATAACCAAACTATTTAGTGAAATTCTTTTGACTGTCCTGATACAACATACTTGTACATGTACATGCTTAGGTTGGGGACTGCCCTTGAATACACCAACGCTACCGGTACATAGTACCATAATAAATTTTGTCTCTTGCAGGAACCTTTCTTAATCCTTCAAAATCATTTTCCATACCACGTCTTTGAACTAGCCCCTACATGTATGTTCCTCAATCCTGAAAAATCCTCCAAAAGCTCCAGGCAGAGTTTGAAAGATCTGGCAAGGTGCTAACATTTCTAAATACTCCTGTTTACAAATACTCCCATCACTGTTCTGCATAAATTATTGCAACGTATTGCTCATTTCTTCACCTTTGCTCCTTGGCCACCTTCACTGCTCCAACTACTTCTACCATGGTAATCTGGTTGTTGGCTCCTCTGACAAACAGTTCCTTCTCGTCAATGTCGGCTGTCTGTGCGTCGTCGGGGACATATCGGTCTCGTAATGCCGCGAGGAAGTCCACACCAAAGTCTGCCTTCTTGGGGCGGATGAAAGACCCACCGGTGGGTGAACTACAAGTATTTGGAAAAGACAAGCAAGAACACATCAATTAAAAATGATTTAGTGACTTCCATGGATGCAACGAAAGAGTGTGAGGCACTTCAAAATTTACAAAAAAATCATGGTTACCGTCCATAACTATGGCTGAGACACTTTCCCACTCCATGTTTTACAAGGAGGTTTCCCAACAAATTTACTCCTATGTATATGACAAATCTGTTAAAGCCATTCACACAGATTCATGAAACAAGATACTCAGTTAACTAGGCTCTTAACCCTAACACTCCTCAATCCTTCACCTGTTGGAGGACTGAGGAGTGTTAGGGTTAAAGTCCATTTAGCCAAAAAAGAATGCTACACTCAAAGTTTTGAGGTGAAAGGTGCAAAAATATGGAACAATTTGCCAGAACAACTCAGAAATATAGACTCGTTAGGGACATTCAAATCAGAACTACGGAAAGCCATGACCAGTGCCATGTAGTCCAAAATGCTGATCTATGGAATTGTAAACTTGGTTGCCTATGTTCTTCAGAGCCAGATCGGGAATTTCCCCGTGTTTTTTTTTCCATAGGGTTTTTTGCAGGATTTTCGCCCATCCTGTGATCAGTATTTAATTAATGCCTTGATAATTTAAATGTTCACATGTGTATGATATTTTAGTGGTCTGTATTTGTAACTACATGTATTCATGTTTGCCGTATTTGTCATTTTTACTTTTCGTTGGCAGTTTCTAAATATTTTATTAATTTACAATAATTAAATTATTAATAATGATCGCGGGGCCCCAATGGAAACCAGTTTTGTAACTATTTGGGCATACCCTGGGTAAAGAAATGGAATAAATAAATGAGTTTATCTACCATACATGTACTCTGTTTAGGAACAGAAGGTGATGTGCTTTTCACAGCAGTGATGGTCCTTTGATAGGAGCTCACGTCATGCATGGGCAGGTTTAGGCACAATTGGTGGGGACTGCACTACGTGTGCACCAGGAATGTGAACGAGCTCTCTCGGAAATCTTCCTGACAGGTGCTGATTCAAGTCAGGGTGAATATTCAATTTTAAAAAATCACCTGGGTAACATTTGTGTAGCCATGTTCCTTTTTAAATTCAGTTGCTTCTCTAATTAGCACCTTTTTCCAAATAACTGAGCATGAATTCCACTCCTGTTACGTACCTGACCTGGAAGTATTGCACACCATTATTGGAGCCGTCATGTTTTCCTCGTTCTGGGTTGTCCCATTCCACTCCAAGCCAAATACCTGATGAAATAAGAATAACAAAATAGGGGCATCAATTATCAATGACCATGCGCAGTTGTGGTGTGCTTCAAAATGTACCTGTGTACTAAAAACCCCACACTCCAAAAGAAACATACATGTACATCTAACCCTAAATGCAAAATAAAGGTAAACAAATATACGAAAAATGCATCCAAACTGCAAATTGTGTCTTGTGATCATCAAAAACCAACGGACACAAACATGAAATTTGTCGCTACTTCTTGTAATCTTGTTATCATTCAAAAGGCCCCCTGAAGCTTTTCCTTTTCCTGGTTTGAAAAGCTATTGAGTTATTTTTGTGAGCCAGTTGTGAGTACCCAGCCTCATAATGTGGAACTCGTTTCTCACATCAGCGGTTGGTACTCGTTGCCCTGCTTCATATGAGCAATGCTAGTGCATAGATGCACATGCTGGCTCTGCAATTGTGCGGACCAGGCATACGTATGTGGCAGAGAAGCTACTGTGAGATACTAAAAACACCGTTGGGACTTACAAGAGTCCCAACAATTTGGCCCAAATCTCCCTACCAATAAAGCTATTCCTCATAAGTTTCAATGTACAAAGTCATGCAGGTTTCAACTCTCTTCAAGTATGAAATAATGAGTGACAAAGAGAAACCTTCATTGGCAAACTTTAATCTGGATAAATGAAAACAGTTACTGATTGCAGATTTGCACTGCACGCATTAAAAGGAAAAAGACCAAAGAATTCATCCACATGAACATCACAGTAATCCAAAGTCAAGTTTGATACTGGTCATTTTGAGTTATTTGAGAAAATTACTTTTATAAATCAGGCTAAACTACATCCAAGGTTGCAGTAATTAAGTTTCCAGCCCCATATAATATTTTTAACGACCGACCTTCTTCCTCAACTTCCCTTTAATTTGTAAGATATTGCCAATTATTAGAACCTCAAGGTAATTTTCAAACCAGCCTGTCCAGGTAAGAGACATTGCAAAGGGGCAGTGGTAACATAAGGGGACAGTGGCAAGGTAGGAGTTCACCCAATTAGCTGACAACTACTGTTGCCTTCAAGGGGCTTCCTTGCAAGTCTGAATTTATTACGGCTTTGAAGCAGCTCTGCAGACCGAATGTGTTTCTGCCAACAGATCAGGTCTCATTGGGAAGATTCTAGGCATCACCTAGTGGAGTCCTGGCCGACAATATCAAGTTTACTGATAGGAAGACTTGACAAGATGACAACCCCTTTAATAGGAAAAGAGGGACGTTGACCAGTGACCACAAAAACAAGCTAAAAACTGCAAGAGTGTTGAAGCATACTGAACTGGGCAGTACCACTGCAGATCACTGGTGACAAGAAGGGTCTTCTCCATTTAAGGGTCACCCCTCCAAAGTGCCCGGTGGGACAGCGAACTGGCTCAAAATGGCTCCTTCCAAATGCAGGAGGGTGCTTACATTTCTTGTTCATGGCACATGTATTCGTATGCTGGTGATTTTATTTCTAGGTGCCAACCTCCCCGATGGGAGATACATGCGGGTGTCTGCACGGCTTCCATCTGTGCAAACCACAGCCAGGAATGGCACAGTACATTTACCTGCTGAATCTCTTCTGGCCGTCTTTCAAGACATCTCGCCAGCAAAGTGCTTTGCTAACTGCCTGTCCCATCCAGAGTGCGTATCGTGGACCTACGAGTATGAAGAGTCGCAAGGCAAGAGTCTGACTACCTCCTTTTGCAGGATTCATAATATGGCATCAGACAGTGTAATTAAACCAATTCACCTTCTTGAAGTTGAAGATTCCATTCGCTATGATCTTCATTGGCATGATCACCCTTCCTCCTTTGGGGTAAGTACAACTTTTCAAGTCAATTTAATCAATCATTTAAAGGGACACGAGCTAGCCTGTTACCTACAGTAGTTACTCCACAGGGATTCACTAGCACCTTCTGCTTCATGAATTCAATTGCACTCCAACTTTCGAGAAGTATGAAATATACACAAGACAGGAGTTGGATATAACAGATTAAAACCCTCCTATGCAAAGATGCATTCTCAACACAGTTGTCCTATCAGTTCAAAATCAGTCAAGTGACATATGATATGTCTATGTACTGTACAGGAGAAGTGGCAGGATTTTTTTACTGTTTGTGACAGTTAAAGCAAAAGGAGGGTCAATTAGAGTCTCAAGCGAGACCAAAAGCACATGTACATGTATAATGTTGTTTTTGCCTGACATTCATTCTATTATTGCTAGAAATACTGTCAACATTTAGTTGTTTCTACTTAATCTACATGTACATGTACCGTAGGAACACATGGGGTACAAGTGCACTCCATGCTCAAGCAAACACTGCCAGTGTTAATGATCTTTTTTTGCAGACATGTACTGAAGCATGGGCACTGAGAGGGGGAAAACGAAGGGTACCTCCCCCCCAAAAAAAACGAAGGGGGAAAACGAAGGGGTACCTCCCCCCCCAAAAAAAAAACAAAGGGGGGAAGGGAAAGGAGAAGAAATGAAAACAGAGATGAACAAAGACCAGAGAGGTAGAAACATATCAGTTTGCTTGGAAAATGTCCAAATTGATCCCCTTTCAATGTCAATGATTTATCAGCATATTGCTGATGCATGAGTCCTTCCCCCTTCCCCAAATCCCTCCCCTCCCCCTCAGGAAAAAGTCGTTTGCTCCTTTGCCCTGAAAAATCCAGGTGATACCCATGTATAGAATCGAAAAGCACAGGCATCAATTTCGTTTGTGGAATGCATCCTAGATTAGCAGCACATTCAACAGCGATGTCTTCCAAATGGAAAGAAACAGAAACCCTTGTACTCTTAGGCATTACTATACAAATTTTACAGCTAAAAAGACCATTCATTTAATTGCAGACATCGTGTGCCCCCAAGCCTGATGAAACGTGGCTGAATCTGACATTCAACTTTGATGGTAAGATTTATGTACTGTGCATGTAGGTTCACAAAACTAACACTTGTTGAAATGTAAAATGTACAATAATATTAAAACGTAATGCCTTTTATGTCAGAATCAAAAACAAACATCTACATGTACACAGGCCATTTTCAAATATTCATTTTGATGGGCACAATCAGTCCATCTGTACTGTTCGCATTTTTACGATCCGTCGATCTTATTGCAGTTTGCCAATAATTCTGCCATCTGCCTTTGCTATCTCACTTCTAAAGTCATTTGCCAAAGTTTAGGACCACCCATAGAAAATGCATTAACCTGAAGGAAAACCAAACTTGAACCAATCAATCATGGTAACTTATGTTTATTTTCAATGTGTAACCTTGGTACCTTGGTTGAACATTTTTTATTACATTTCCATGATCTGACATGTTAACATGTGCCCTCCCTTATTTCTGACTGCTTAGACTGGCTTTTTTTTTACCCATGCTGCCTTGCAGACAAAATGTCATACAAGACCTGCCTTTGCAAAAAATTTCATTCCAATGGGTATATAGCACTACACTGATGTTGTGCACCACGGTAAAATCATGTTAAGTAATCATTCAGTGAGACAATGTAATGCAGGCCCAGAGACAGAAATACCAATCAAATTCCAGGTGGTATTAAACTTTTGCAAATGACTGTAGTAGTGAAAAAAAGGGATGTTAAGTCAGAGATTCCATACAAGACTGAAAGAAAATGTAACATGATTTTTTAATTTTTTTTTGGTGCCTTTTTAGTTTTCATGCAAATGTCAATTTCCATATTCATGAGCATAACTCTGAAGTCCTCCTATGGAAAAAAAACCTTGATGTTGGCATTGATTTGTGCACAAAACTTGCTTTCAGTTTTGATATACATGAGTTACTTTTGTACTTATTTGATATTCAAATGTAAACTCCATTCTTCACCTTGGGAGAAAATCTGCTTTTACAATGAGCCCACTGTTTTGTGCACAATTTTGGGCTTTCCACTCCATCATATACCGATGCATGTACATGTACATATATTGAGACCTATGAAATGAAATATGTCATACCTGATTTAAATTGTTCTGTACAAATCATGATGTTAGAGGGATAATTTTGCTCCAATTTTAAGAATTTGAGATTTATTGGCTTTTGCATCTGACTTGCTACAGTAGGCCTATTTAATACTGTCAGGGTTAGGGCAGTTAACCATTTTTTTATCAGTTGAACAGGAACACTTACATGTGATTAAGTTCTAATTGGATCCATCCATTGTGTCAGGTAAACAATAGTCAGAAGATTATCCTTGAATATGTAAGTCATTACAAAGTTCCCCCTCCCACCTGTTAACAGCTGACAGCCATTCAATAGCTACTGCTACTCCATTTCTCAAAAATTGATTGAAGTTGACCCTCTCCGAGGGTAATTAATACTGTGAAGTTTTTTTATTGGTTCCCTTAAGTCAGGTATGCAGTAATTAGACCCAAACCTTGCTTGACAAATTACAATTTTTAATTGTCAATTTATCATTTCAGCTGGACAAGGGCACCTCCGAAAGCTACCAGTACAGTGATGTACCAATTGTAGAGGTGTTTAGGATTCTGAAGACATATTTGACAAAAAAAAGAATTTTGGCCTGACAAACTTATGTAGTACACTATACATGTACAAATCCAATCTCAGCATTTCTCGCTTTGGCAAAAAGTCTACATACACTTGGTAGAAAAACAGTTTTCCTCAATTTTAACTGTTTGAGATAGTTTTGCCTACTTTTTCTTTAAGAGGTCAGATGCTCAAAATATTAATATAAAATTTCTGAAGCAAAATTGCAAAGTTGGAGGCTCACACAAGTACACAGCCACACACTGCATACATGTACATGTACAGTACATGTGTACACGGGCTAGCTAGCCCTCCTATGTTAAGATACATTCTGGACACAGATGTCATGTCAGTCAAAATCAGTCAAATTTCCCATATGTGTCTGTGTACTGGGGGAAATCAAGTGGCCGGCATTTTGGACTGTTTTTGATGATTAAAACAGGAGGGCTAGCTAGTATGCCCGTTTTGTACACACAGAGTATTAGAATACATGCATGCACAACAGCTTTC